GTCCTCCTCCTCCTCCAGCACACTTGGCTCCCCACCCACGGGGGCCTGAGCCCCCCATCCCTGGTTTCAGCTCAGCCCGGGAGGGAAGCTGGGCTGCCTCTGGACCCCCAGGTGTGGGGTGGGCTGAGGTGGGGGCTGGTGGGGGTCTGCAGGCTGGGGGAGCTGGGGCTGGGCTGGGCTGGGGGAACTGCTCCTCACCAGCTGCTCGGGTACTGGGAGCTGAAAGGGAGACACTTGCTGGGATCAAAAGGAAAAGTGGAAACATCTTATCTGTAAATCAAGCAAAACATTGTTGAGAACAGACATATTTTCTTTAAACGGGGGCCCTGTGAGGCTGTGTGTTTGCAAACAGTGGGCTCAGACAAGGAAAACAAGTGCGTTCTGCCCTTGTAACTGCTCGGTCCTTCCTTTATTTCCTGCACTCATCTCCTGCCTAGACATTAGAGGTGTTTTCAGGTGGAAAAGCCGTCCCAGTGTTGCCTGCGTGGCTGGAGCTGCTTCTTTCTGCCCCGTTGGACTCAGCTGTTTCTCCTTCCCACCTGTTTGCTCCACCTTGAGCAAACTTTGTTTTGTTCCTCCTGCCCTTTATCATCTTCCTGGTCCCTGTCCTGGCTGTTGTCCTCACTCTTTGCTGTCCCCATTCCTGCTGGTCGCCCAGGTTATGGGTTAGGGTGCTGCCTGCAATTCCCAAAATGACGGAGTCTGGAGTAAACTCAGGGATCTGGGGCCTGACAAGCACCTGATAAAAGCATTCCTGCCACATAGCACAGATATTTTTAGCAAAGGGAGCAAAGGAGCTGAAGGGGGAGTCAATAAGCTGCATGATGAAGGCAGCTGCTTGTGTTCATCCGGCATCAGTGTGGAAATGGGGCTGGAGCCTGTTCCTTTTGAAATGAGCTCGCACCCACACGAGTGCATCAGCGAGATTAAGCTGTGCTTGGCATTTTTAAAATGCAGGAATAGCAGAGCATTCATTATCCCATCGGTCCTTTTCAGTGCAGCCACAAATGTCTGTATTTATCCATTTGCTGGCAGTCTGGTGAGGAAAGGCAGCTGGAGCCCGGGGCAGGCTGCTGGTGTCCAGGCTCGTGTGTGACAGTTGTGTCCTTTATTTCTATTTCTGTAGCGCTGTTTTGATGGAATGTGTAGCGATGGGAACTGTCACATCCCAGCCCGGGAAGGGTCCCGGGGGAGCTGAGCTGCTCGGCAGCGCTGTCCCACGCTGGGCATGGCTTTGGAGCTCGGCAGCGCTGCCGCAGGGGGTGACACCGGGGCTCCTCTGTGACACTCCGGCTCCCGGAGCTCTCGGGCAGATGGCAGAGCCCGAGATGGGAGCAGGTTGGTTCTGTCTGCCTTGAATTCCAGGGTTCTGCTGGGTCCGGGCTGTGCCCGGAGGTGTCCAGGCTGAGGTTCTGCCCAGGTCAGGAGGAGCAAAAGGAGCCCTGCGCTCCGGGGCCGGGGAGCTCGGCAGCGCTCGGAAACCCATCCTGGGGAGCCCTCTAGCGAGAGCAGCGCCCGCCAGAGCCCGCCGGGCTCCCGGGGCTGCCGCCGCGCCCGCGACATCCTCCGGGGGGCTGTCACACCTGGGGGGTACGCCGGGATGCTCCGGGATGCTCCCGTACCTGGGGAACGCCCGGGATGCTCCGGATGCTGCCGCACGCAGGGGATGCTGATGCCTGATCAATAGAATAGGTCGGAATAAAACGCAGCAACAGAAAAATGCTCCTGAAACACCTTGGACCTCCTCTCCTGCAGGAGATAAATGCTGTGTGGATAAGGTGCTTATTACAAGCTGTGAGGGGGGATTTACACAGCGGTGAAATATGGATTTGTGGTTTTTCTGTGTGATAATCTCTGGGTGTGTTGCCACCTTCCCCTGCTCTCCTTGTGTCCCATCCTGGTCCTGGCAGGGGAGTGAAAGGCCCCACTGCAGAGGAGCAGAGAGGCAGGAGTGGAGAGGAGAAATGAAACCCCACAAAAGATCTGTTTCTGAGCTAGAAATGTCAGTGCTGGCTGCTGTGCCGTGCCCAGAAAAGCTTCGAAACCAGAAATAGGTGTTCTCCTGCCTAATGAAAGGGCTGAGAAGGGAAATTCCAGGTGCATGCCTTCCTCTGGCCTGGGGCACTGCAGCTCCAAACGCCACAGGTGTGGCTGTGTGATTCCTGTTCCTCAGCGTTATTCCCTTCCTGGGAACCGAGGTGCAGGGACACTGAGAGGAGTTGTGCACGCTGTGTTTTTGGGGTCAGGCAGAGGCTCTGCTGCCAGGCTGCCAGGAGGAAGTTCATCCCCAGTGTGAAGGGAAGGCCCATCTGGATGAGAGCTGTTATCCCTGGATGCAGCTGGCTTCCTGCAAGGATAAATGAAAAGCTTAAGCAAGGTTTTGCCTCTTTTTGCAGCTTTTGTGATGACAGGGCTCTTCAAGTTCCAAAATATTTGGGGCTCCACCTGTCCCCTGTGCAGCAGGGGCCGCTGCATTCCCCTCCTGGGAAGTGCAGGCAGTGTGAGAACCCTGGGTGGGGTTTTAGGCAGTTCAGCACAGCCAGAGACATCCGTGGGCTGCACATCCCTGTCCCTGAGCCGTGTGTGTGTGCAGGGCTTGGCACAGAGAGTCCTGTGACAGCAGAGAGGGAGGGGACAGCCGTGCCAAGGACAGCCCGTGCAGCTGCTGCCTGTGTGGGCTGCATCTCTGTGCCAGGATGGAAACTGCTGGCAGGTGTTTTTAAACAGGTCAGCACCCTCCCTGCTCTGCAGAGATGTGTTTGCTGACTGCGCCAAGCAGCGTTTGGCAGGCAGAGCCTCCGGTGTGACTGACAAAGTCAGGTTATCTCCTCGGTGGTGATTTGCAGCCAGTGCTGCTGCCAGGCTAGGTCAGGTGCCAAGCTGGAAAATGCCACTCGAGGCATTTTCTTAATTGCTCCTCGGTTGCAGCAGGTGGAAGCAGGCTCTGCCCCTGCCCTGTATCTTCCTGCCCCAGGGCCCTGCGAGTCAGGAGCTCTGCAGGCAGCGTGGCTCAGTCCTGCTGATCCTGTTCCTGCTGGCTCCTTCCCCGGGTGCTGGGTGGGATGGGGGATCCTCGCTGGATGCCCTGTGTGTGCACAGCCTGCACAAGGACAGGTCCTGATGATTTCCTGCTCTTGTGTGCCCCAGTTCCCTCATCCAGCAGGAGCTGTAGGAGTCAGCCTGTCACACACAGCTCCTTCCCTCTGCAGCGGAGGTGCCTCGTCCTTGCTGCCGTGCCAGTGCTGCTGCTGCTGCTCCTGCTGCATTTTCTCGTTCCCCTGTGAGGTCCCTGCAGAGCTCCTCAGCTGCTCACGACCGCTGCTGCTCCCTGGGTTCAGGGGGAGGTGGGAAGGGGAACCGGGAGCAGCGGGAGGATGAGGTCAGGCTGCAGCGTGGTGCTGCAGCGCGACTCACGCTGAGGATCTGATGTAAAATTCATCTGCAGAAATCAGCTCTGCCTCTTCGGAGCGGGGAAGTGGGCTGTGCTCTGCTACGGCAGCCATGGGCAACAGGATGTTGAGCTTCTGCTTTTTGCTTCAGACTCGTGGTTTTTGGCTAAGCTTCAGTAAGAGTCATTCCCCTCTTGCTCAGTGTCCTCTGCCTGGCAGCAGGGGAGTGTGCAGGGTCCCTTGTCCCCCAGGCCCTGGGGATGTGGGGGCCAGCGTGGTGCAGGGGCTGAGGTGTTCCCTGGAACCCACGTGCCTCTCCTGCCACTGGCCTGTGGTGGGAACTGGCAGCACCTCAGCTTTGGTTCACCCAGAGAAGTCTTTGGGGAAGCTAAGAAGTATTGTGGAAAGGGGTAAGAGATTTTCTTTTCAAGAGGATGGGCAGTAAAAGCACACAGGATGACACATATACCTAATAAGGACACCAAGAGAGGGAGGCCTGGAGAAAGGATCCCTGCAGGGAGGTTATTTGAGATGCTCAACGGTGAGTACTGAGCCCTTTGAAGCTTCCAGAGGCAGCCGGACCAGATGGACAGGTCTGCTCTGGCCCGGGGGCCTCTCTGTCCATGCAGAGGCATTCCCAGCCCCCAGAGCTGGCTGATGATTCACAGGGAAGCCGTGGGCTCAGCCTGCCATGGGAGCTCTTGGTGAGGTCAGCGAGGGCCAGCAGCGTTCTCTGCAGTGGGCCAGACTTCTCTCACAGCAGGACAGTTGTCTGTCCTTCCCGAGGCCATCCCTGGCGCCGGGGTAAAGCAGTCAGGGTTCCAGGGAGCTGCCAAATGTCCGCAGCCAGCAACGCCACTGCCCGTGATAGATCTGCAGCCGAGCCCTGGACATTCCTGCCAGTGCTGTGGCACGGTGTCAGTAATGTTATCCTCCTCTCTCTAGCAAGCGTGTGGGAGGTGATGAATTTGGGAGTGGGAGCCCCCGTTAGGGGAAAAGTTCCTGAGGGAAAGCTCCCGAGGGAGGCCAGCAAGGTTGATTTCTGTGAGAACTGCTGGCTGTTATTTTTAAACAACAATAGTTTAATAAATAAATAAACTCGCTGCCACGGAAGGATATAGCATCAGCCAGGGCTGCCGAGGCCGGTATTTCCTTGGAAAATGGGACAGGTGTTTCCCTCCCCTGTGTTTGGCTCCTCAGCTCTGGGAAACCCCCTTCCTTGGGAAGGAGCGAGCCTTCCCGGTGGGACCGAGGGTTCCTGGGGGGAGTGAGGGCTCCTGGGTGCTGCCTGCCCCCCAGGACAGCTCCCCGCCCAAGTGGGGTCTTCTCGGGCACGTCCAGAGTGGAAAGAATCTGTGTGCTGCCGGCTCTGTGACAGCACAGGTGCAACCACACAGGCGTGGGATAAACCGCCGCGGATCTGGTTTCACAGTTCCCTGCCCTTCACGCGGGGGCTCCCGGTGGCGGGGGTGGGGGGGAAAAAGGCAGGGCGTCGCCAGGGCTGACAGCGACGTGCCCCAGCCCCGCCTTTGGGCAGAAACTGGCGAATTTGGCACTCCGCATCGGAGGGGACGGCGGCGGCTGTCGCCTCCCGAGGCGGGGGCTGCGGGGGGGCGCGGGGCCGGTCCGTCCCGGCGGGCGGTGCCGGGGGCGGGCGCTCCCCGCCGCCAGTGGCGCGGTGCGGGGGCGGGCGGCCCGAGCGGAGCGGGGAGCTATGGGGCCGCAGTGAGCCCGCCGGGGAGCGCAGGGAAGCGGGGCCGATGGCGTTCAGCGCCTGGCAGATCCTCTCGCCGGTGCAGTGGGCCCGCTGGACCTGGTCGGCGGTGCGGGGCGGGGGCAGCCCCGAGGAGGGGGACGGCGGGGCCGGTGCTGCCGAGGACGAGGATGAGGAGGAGGACCGGGAGCCGCCGGCGGGGGGCTCGGCCCTCGGCTTCAGGCAAGTCACCCGCGGCCCCTTCCCCGCCCGCCCTCCCGCGGTGCCCGCATCCATGCGGGGCTGCGGGCGCGCCCTCCCCGGCCCTCTCCCCATCCTCCCCTCGCTCGCTGCCTGGCTGCCGGGGATCCCCGCACCGCGCCGGGGGCTGGGGGGGGGGCCGGCAGCTGCTTCCCGGAGGATGCTGGGGAGCGCAGGGCCGGAGCAGCCGGGATCGCTCCCCGCCGCAGCCTCCGGGATGCTGCTGCTGCGGGGCTGCATGTCCTCGGAGGCCCGTGCTGTGTGCTCAGCCCGGGAGCCACCTGGCAGAAGGCCTCCGGCAGGGCTGGGGTGCACAGGGCTGATGTTTCACCTGCTCTCCCTTTTCCGTTTGCTAGCGTGTCCCGCTGGACAGGAGCGAGTGGCCGGCCCGGATGCCCGCGGCCAGCCTGCAGCCTGGCTGGACGTGTAGGCTGTGGAGGATTTCAGAGGTAGCTTTGAAAGCAGTAATTCCTCACTCTTTCCCTCC